CGCGTGGCGGCCCTCGCCCCTTCCCCGCTCGCCGTGGGGCGGCTGAGGGGCTGTCGCACGTCTGGAGTGCGGGCACGCTTCTCCTCCGTGCGGTCACTTAGCAGAACAGGAGGGTTTGCTCTAACAGCGTCCTGTAGTCTTTCATACACACTATCTCTCTCTCTCTCTCTATGTGACATATCTATCTATCTATCTATATGGAACATATCAATCTTAAATTCTTCACGCTGCAAAACCCATAGGGTTTCTTCCTTCTTTTTTTTTTTAATACAGAGCGTTTGAACACTTGGTGTAGATTTCCCCGTGGCACGGCTTTCCTCCGTTCACGTTTACAAGCGGATTTCGACTGCGTTTAATTCTTCGCCAAACAGGAGTTAAAAGCAGCCACCACAGGGAATGTTCATGCTTTTAAGAACGCCTGATTTTTCCTTCCCCTCTGTTTCCTATAGGACAGAAGGAAACATTACTCCTTAATGAGTTACTTTGTCAGAATGTCTCATTTTCAGTCGATCACGTGATTCAATTTTCTGGTTTTAGAATATTCCTGAGGAAAGTTTGTATGTGAAATGTAACGGGCGACTGGTTAATGATGAAGATGCGCTGCAGGATGGAGCTGTTTATAGCCTGGAACCAAGACTTTGCGGTGGAAAAGGAGGTTTGTTGCTTAACTGCTTCTTATTGACTAGATTCTTAGGCTAAAAAGCTTTTATTATACTGTAGTCTACACTAATAGCAGCAGCCCTAATCTGTTAGCACATCTCTTTTAACGTGGGTGACTGTGATATAATGTCTGTGAGCTGAAACCAAAGGCTAAGTGCAAAGCTGAGAATTGACTGGGGAAGCTGTAGTTCAGCGAACAACTTTGCTGGCATAGCTCTTCTTCATGCCCCTGGTCAGCTTAGCTCAACTAGTAGAAATCTGTAACATGCATCAGTTGAAATTGTGTTTAAAAGCAGTTGGCTTCTTAGACTCCTGAGTTTCATTCATGATCACTTAGGACAAATATGCCAGGTACAAATAGTCTGTGATTGGATCACATTATATGACCTAACTGATCTTATCTTCTCTTATTTGAAAAAAATATCTAAATGCCAAGATCCCAGTAGCCTAAGAACTAAAGAATTCAATCTAAGCCAGGCTTCCTATATTGACAAAATATTTCAACTGTGTTACAGAAGATAGGTATTAATCATACAAAACGATGTAGCCACCAACGATATGGGCATTCCCTAAAATGGAGCGTGATGGGTGAAGCAGGTTTAGCAGAGTATTTGAGTGTAATTGGAGTTTGCTTTTTGAATCCAGTTCTCAGAACTTTCCAGCTATTGAGTTAAAATGCTGCAGCTCGGCTTTGCCTTCTTTGTAGTTTTAGACAGAACTGGAAATAGGTATTGTTGCTATAGCTTATGAACTATTGTGGTTTTTAAGTGCCCTAAAAGTGGCGCATATGGTATAAGTTCACAGTATAGGATGCTTCTTCCTCACCTATTGTCCATCAGCTTCAGTTTTCCTGGGGTGACAGGAGCGTATAGAAGGAGTGTATAGAAATCTATTTTGGGGGGCTCTCCAGCATAACATTGCACATCGTGATCATTTCAATGAAGCGGCTAAGGCTATCTCCTAAAAAAGTTATTTTAGTTTTTGTTAGATTTTTAAAAGGGGATTTAAGTTTGGTGGGGGCTAAAGGGGCTTAAGGGGGAGGTACAATATCCTGGCTAAATTAGAAAGGACCCAAAATGTTATCTTGGGATGAAAACGGTTTCAAACCATTTTGCTGGAGGACACAGAAATAGGCTTTCGTGTTAGAAGCGCTGCTCAGGTTCTAGTAAATCTGGAGTCCATCTGGTGTCATCTCAGGATTACAAAAATGAGATGAGTGGTAAGTGCTGGATACCTTTTTTTCACTTAGTGTTTCGTCATTTCACCCAGTGATAGTTCTCCAACATGTTGCAACTTTCAGCTTACGCGTGATTTCAATTGCATTGAGGGAGAGGAAAGTGTTGAATTCACTGTATTCGTTTTCCATAATTAATTCTTTTGTTGTGTACTAGCTCATCTCTATTTGTTTCTGTTTAGCTAATTCTTGATTACTTTTTTCTCAGGGTTTGGATCTATGCTGCGAGCACTTGGTGCTCAGATTGAAAAGACAACAAATAGAGAGGCTTGCCGAGATCTCAGTGGAAGGAGACTACGAGATGTCAATCATGAAAAAGCGTAAGGCATTTTCTTAGGAGCAAGAATTATAAAATAGACTGACCATGTAGTTCACTGTTAACAAAAGAGTTCAGATGACAGGCTGTTGTAGCAATGAAATTTTGTTTTGAATACTAGAAAGAGCAAAAGCGAAATCTTAAGCACAGATAGACTGGAAGCCAACAGGATTCTTCTGACTATGATTATATTACTGCAAAATAGAGGTGATTGTACTGCAGCCTGCTTCTGAGAGACTGTTCTGCACCTCTTGGTTTTCTCATCTGGAATTCTTACAGTTCTTTTCTCTGAAGCTGCAAGACCATGATATTGGGGGTACACGACCTTACTGCTGTTTCTGCTTCCAAAATAAACTTTACTCTCTTCTCTGTAGCAGAATCTCTGTGTATTCCTTCAGTAATCCCCCTGGGTGCTGTTAGTTATATTTTCCCGTTGTCTCCCATCCTAGCAAGTGGTAGAAGCATTCAATAATTGCAGAGCAGCAAACTGATACTACATTAAATGTTGGAAATGTTCTCATTTTCGTGGTTCTGTTACCTGCAGGATGGCTGAATGGGTGAAGCAGCAAGCAGAGCGGGAAGCAGAAAAAGAGCAAAGGCGCTTGGAAAGGCTGCAGCGGAAACTTGCAGAGCCAAAGCACTTTTTCACAAATCCGGACTACCAGCAGCAGTGTCATGAAATGTCTGAGCGACTAGAAGATTCAGTCCTTAAAGGTATTGCAGTTTAACCTCACTTTCTTTCCTCGAAAAATAAAGCAAACTAAAAACCCTTATAGCCGCACTCCAGTATGAAATTTTTTTTTAAAAAAAAATGAAATTTTAAATTCCAGTAAAATTTGTTGGAATTAATTTTTCCTCTTTGCCTACTGCTTCTCTTAAATTGCATTGAACAGCTTAACACGGATACTTTGTACAGATGCTTCATCTTGCTGTGCTACAGTGTCATAATAAAAGCAAAATTCTGTGAAAGTAGTGTTGCTAGTTCAGCTGTAAGAATTACATAATCGTTTTCAGTGAAATGATAAAATATAAACAGATATTATGTAAAAACTAGAAATTTAATCCAACTGCAAAATACCTTGTTTCACTTACTGGTCTTTGTAGTTAATTTATTTATCCATGGATTGTTCCCTTGCTGGCAGCTTGATAGTAAAATTGGAGGCTGAGTGGCATGTGGAACCTGAGAGTTCAACTCAAGAATCCAATTTTAATTGACTCTGTGCCTTAGTAAAGCCGTGTAGGAAAGCTTTTGGTGCTACTGACTTTATTTTGAAGCTTTGAGTCCACCTGAATGTGCACCAAAAGTGATTATTTTCAGTTGGTGTTTTAAATTGCATCTGAAATTAAAAGTTAACTAGAGTTTGCAACGCACATGAATTGTGTACTGATGAAGTAGACTTTTAACTTTGTTTTGAAGGATTACAGGCTACTTCGAGCAAAATAGTGTCACCAGAAAGTGGCAATAGTCGGAAGCGTCCGGGTGAATCTGGAACGAATGGAACAAAATCTCGAAAAAGAAAATGTTTTTGGTAAGCATTATGCCTTGTTCTTATACTCAAATATTAAGCCTTGAACAGGATGAAAGGTTAGGTACGTACAAGTAAGCAACATCTTATCTGAGATGTAGACGTAAATAGGAATAAGTATATCGAACAGATTAAATTAGAGAACTGAAAGTAAATGTTGCTACGTTCATATAATCCTGTCCCACCTGGAGCAGACAAACTTTATTTGTGAAAATAGGCACCCTTTCCCCCCTCCCCACCTTCTAATATGGTTATATTCTACTATCTCCCATTGTCCTTTTTTTCATTAATGAATTAAATTTGCAATGATCTTGAAAGAACTGGCTTTTTTCACCTAATGTAACATGAAAGAGAAGCCTTAATGATTGCAGTGGTGTTTGGAGTAGCAATTGGTAGCCCGCATTTCTATACTGGGAATGCTGTAAAGAGATACCTGTTTTTGGGGGATGTTGGGTCCTGTTCAATATCAGCAGCTCTTCCATTTACTAAACTATCCTGAATAGCTGCTAGTGTAGTTCACTGCAGCTCTCTGAAGTGAGTTTTGGAAAGAGAAAAGTGACAATAAAAAGGTACGGTTTTAAAAAAAGTGAAAGTAGATTAATATCAATTAGTAACATACCGATTGTGGCAGGCTGGGATTGGAAGGATTGGATGATTGTGACAGTTCGGATTGTGAGGATGACAGTGAAGATGACTCCCCTCACGCATCTGACGGAAGTTGTCCATCAGGCAGCAGATATAATGAAAATGCTGGAAATTCAAATGAATGTTCAAGCAGCTCTCTTGATTCGGTGGAGGGTAGTCCAGCTATCAGTGCAACCGTGAAACCACTGGAGCAGCCAGAAGGTACTGGAAGAGATCTGCAAGGAGAGACAGACGCAGGTGGGCAAACTGAAATTCCAGCTGATGAAAACAGTAAAATGGCAAAGCCTGTGGAGGAAGAGGCCCAAGAAAAGAGTGAGGTAACCCCAGCTCTGAAAGAAGAGGAACAACAAGAAAAGGTTTCTTCTGAGGCACAGGAAACTAACCCGTTGCAGAGCACAGTAGAAAACGTGGTATGTGTTTTTCTTCAGCTCCTTTTACTCAATCACTTTTCCTTTTGTGGATCGCAGAAAAAGGGAGGGGGTTTGTATCCTATGACTTCAGTGTATTAGATGTAAGTGCTTGAATTAGAATCATAGTCTCCCTAACAAGCTAATAGCATCTCCAGAGTTTGATTCAGAGCACAAAAATTCCCAGGGTTAAAAGGAAAAGCAGCTGAAATGAAGATGCATCGTACAACTTATGACAAGGGAATGTAGCAAGTTAATGGAAACTGCAGACAAAGAAGGCTCTTGGTTGACAGTGTCTCCATGGAGAAAGTTGAACTGTAGTATGGTCGCATTGTCTTGACAGATGCTAAGTAGAATGGGTCAAGGAAGAACTTTATAAGATCAAGGTTTTAATAGCGTAGAGTTTCTACTAAGATGCAGTTGCCCTTGACTGCCTAGTATTGTCTGTCCTGAGATCCATGTTTCCCCTTGGGGTTTTTTGGTTGTTTTTTTCCCTTCTTCTACATAAACAGATACACTCTGGATCCACAGTTCTTTACTGAGGGGGGAAAAAAGGAAAATAAAACCCTTTTGTAGAATGACAGACTCTTATCAATACTTTTTGAGACATTACCAAACACAGGCCAATTTGACTAACCTTATTTGTAACATAATTTGGCCTTAATATTTATAATTGATGTCAGTGTTTAAATTAGAAGTTGTTCCAAGCAGATGTCCCCTCAGCCAATCAGCTGATCAGTGTCTCTTCGTTTCTAAATAAGACTTGAGTGTGGTTCGTAGAGAACCCTAGCAGTCTGGTGCAAACTTCAGTTCTTCATTGACCATTGAAAGTCTGAAAGCAGCAGCTCCTTCCCTAGAGAGACAGGATTAGTATAAATGATGGGCTTCATCTGAACTGCAAAGGATGGTGGAAGAACGGTTCTAAAATAGATTGTCTGGTGCATGCATGGTGGAAGCAGGTCTGTACTCTTACCATACTATTACCTCTGCTGGCGGTCTGGGTTGTGTCACAGCCCTCAAGCCAGATCAGGAGTGCTGTTGACCATGAGGTTCCTTCTCTGGTGATCGACAGGAGGATGGCTGGGATTCTTTTGCTGAAGATGCTTTGGATCAGTCTTCCAGCCGAGAGAGAACATAGCTTTTCCTCCTGAATTGATGAAAGGCCAACTAATATTTGGCAGTAAAAGATGCCAATACTTGTGCTTCTTTGCCCCTTGCATAGTATTACTATTAAAAATTTTGGGGTGTGATGAACCTAGGCTTATTCTAGCAGTGAAACAAAATGTGGTGCTTTTTTCAGGCTAGAGAGTTGCTTGGATTTTCTGCTTGAGCAGAAAGTCTACCATCAGTTGCCACTGCCAGTGACTGAATAAGTGAAAGTTTGATACAGTTAAATAGAAAAAAGACCAAGGATGCCATCTGATAAATTAGAACTTTGTCATCTACTGTACTGTAAGAGCTGGCAAATTTTAAACAGGATGTTTACCATTCTTCACTGTTTACCATTTGCTCAGTATTTGCAAGACTGTCTATTCCTAGAACAGGAAACTCCACCAATGCTGTGGCAGATGGTTATTGCAGGTGGAAATATTTTTATAATAGTCCTTGATGGACTTTTTTAAAAGTACGATGAGAATAATGAGGCAACCAGTCTCTTTTTGTATCCTCAGCAGGACAAAGGTTCTAATTCTGCTAGTGTTAATTGTATCTGCTGTGTTCATAACGGAGTGGTCTCGTTCCCACTGCTGGTACTGCTTGCTCTGAAGTCCCTTTGATAACTCTGGCATGACAGATGCCGTAAGACTAGTATGTGCTTTAAATATTGAACAAAATGGGCTTAGATTTTTGTGTCCTTTTTAGTGTGATAATGTTTGCTGGTAGTGTTTAGTGTGTGAGTAAATTCCAGCATTAGAATTACCCAGTCTTTGTCCATGTTCTTTTGTGGACAAGACCCTGGGCTTGGACTAGACAATCTACAGAGGTCCCTTTCACCCTCAGTTATTCTGTAAATGTACTATTTTTCCTTGTAAGATGAAATTTTAATCCATTTTCATGTGGCAGGACAAGGTGTGAACTTCAGAACTTGCTCTTTTGTAATTTCACTAAAAAGAGAGTGCTTTTATATCTATTTCTATAATTACAGTGTAACTGAATTAGAAATAACTATTCATCCTCTTTCCTGCTGCTGCTGGGGGATATTGGTTATATTCTACATCTGGCTAAAAAGGGGCTGTTAGCTTTGCCGTGCCTGTGGAAGCTGAGGTTAAGCTACTGAGCTGCTAGGTGAGGTGGTGGGCTGTTGGTCTTAATTCAGTTTTCTTGGGAGTACTTAATTTCCCTGGGGATAAATCCAGTGTCGACTATTTTGCCTTCAGAGGAGTAGGATTAAACACTGCCACCTACTTTTTTATTTTTCTTTTTCAGCATTCCTCTATCGCAAGTAGAATGTACTAATTCTAGTGGAATAATTCTAAAAGTTCAGTGGTGTGTATATAATTCAAAATGACCAGCGCTTCTGTCTTGGAGGCTGCGTACATCACAAGTCTAAGCATATCTGCAGCTTGTCTGGAAACGTTAGAGTGAGCCTTTAACTAGCTAGCAGAGGCACTGTGAGGAGTAGGGCTGTAGTTGCGCAGTTGGACACCGGGTACAAAGCTCACCTGGGCATTCACCCCCCTCTTGGATGTGTTATCTCCACTAAGATTTGCATGTTTTACGACGAAGCTGCTGCCAGGCTTCAGTTTGCTTGTACATGATGCAGTAATACTTTGCCTGGTACCACTATAAGTACCACTAATAATGAGAATATCCAATGTAATACATTCGGAGACATCGCTCAACTTTGTTAAGTAATTAGGTGTTTGAGATAATCCTAATTGAAGGTCTTCTGTAAAATTAAGCATTCTGTCTGTACTTGTTCCTTTTCTTCCTCCAGGAAGAAAATAAAAATAGTCTGATGGGGTGTTTTTCTCTTTGCAGGAAGTAGAACCAATAGACCTGCTGGCATTCAACTCTGCTGCTGAAATGGAAGCCCTGGGTTTAGATAAACTGAAGATGGAGTTGATGTCTTTAGGACTGAAATGTGGAGGCACTCTAAAGGAAAGAGCAGCAAGGCTTTTTTCAGTGAGAGGTCTGTCTAGAGACCAGATTGATCCTGCCTTATTTGCAAAGCCCTCTAAAGGGAAAAAAAAGTGATTTTTTTTTTGTTTGTTTGTTTGGGTTGTTTTGTTTTAAACATAATTTTGTATCTGTGTCCTTTTAAATTTTTATTCTGTTGTCATTCTGTACTGCCACATAGAATTCTTTGGCATGCCTGGATAGTCTTTTGTTTCTATTCTTAAGGAAGTTTGATTAACATAACACAGAGTCAGTTGCTAGATAGCGAGCTAGTTATGTGTTCAATATTAAAGGAGTCAAACTACTATCTTTTGATAAACTTTACAAATAGCTATAACAAGTCTCAGTGCAACAGGCAGAACAAACTCTCTCTATATGGAAAGAAATAACCTGAATGTTTTCTGGAAAATGGTTGTATGACGCTGTCATTGCCTATTTTAAGAAAAATAGCAATCCTTTCTTAGCTTTGTATTGAATCTCCTTTAATGTGTATTCCAGTTAGCACAGTTACAATTGTCAAATGAGAAACATTGAACTTGTTATCCAGGCTTAAAGGCTGAAGTTTCTTTATATAAAAAGAGCATTTTTATATGGATGAGGTCAGTATAAATAAATACACTGTGCCGTGAGTTTCTGTGGGATGTCAGGTATCAGTAGGACATAAATTATTAATGTGTGTAGGTACTTCTTTTAGAAGAAGTTAAATAAGGTTATTTACTTATTTTGCTATGGAATAGTACCTGAGCGAGGGAGAGAATCACATCCTGAAGAAATTAAGAAGAATAAAGTATGCTTGCTGGCTGCTGAAGGTTGGTAACATACAGAGTGACCATCTGAAGCTGAATGGGAAATTTAGGATGGGTTTTTTCACTTTCTTTTTTCAGTGATAAAAGCAATGGAATTGTCTCCCAAGGACTTAAATATCTGTGGGGGTGGTGCTTTATCCTAGAGTGGCATCTGTAATCTCTGTGCTGGGAGTTACCCTGCGAGGTGGTAAGGGCAGCGTGCTTGCCTCCCCTGCCGCTGCTCTGGTTTGAGAGGGTTTTAAAAAGTGTTCAGTTCAGTGCCTCAGATTGCAGATTTTACCACCATATGCTGGAGAATATTATGTTTATGATCTGCTTTCAGGTTTTCTTGTAGTGACGCTTGAGAAATTAAAAATTCTTTCTCCTGTTCTGTCATGATAGCATCCGTTTATCTGTTTTAAAGTTTGGCTCATAAAGTTTAGTTTTGAATTGCAATACTGGTAGGAAGCTGGCTTCAAATGCTAGGAAATCAGTCTGCTCATGTAGTATTCAGTATTTCTAACGTGCAGTTTGTATCTGATATTTCGGTCAGCTTTGCAATCTTACGACCTCTCCTCAGAAGCTGTTTTGTTTATGCTTGGAAATTTTGGATGGAGAGAGGGTGTTAAAGCTCAAGGATTGATTCTTGACAAACTCCACAGGCAAGCCGTTAAAAGTTATGTTGGTGCAGCTGCTCCAAAATGCTGGTTAACCTGACAGTTTATCCTTCCCTCACCTACACCACCTTCCCAGGCACGCTTTGTTATAAAATAACATGGGAAGGCAGGCTTGCTGCCCCGTCAGTTTGTGTGTGTCCCCTGGCCCCCCTGGGTGCGGGTTGGGGGGCTGTGGGAGCCCCGTGCCAGCAGGCGTCGCTGCGGGCCCAGGCT